CCTCATATCAAAGTTCACTCAGATGCAAACTTGATTCATAAAAGTTATTACTAATAAAATAAAGCAGTGTGATGTGAGGACAGATATTTATTAATATATATAATTATAACAATATTTAAAAATAAATAAAAATCATCAAAATAATAAAGTAATAAATAAATAAAAATACAATTCATAATAAAATAATACTAAATACAAATTATACAAATAATAAAGTAATCATTAAAGGTGGGGTAGGTAAGTTTGAGAAACCGGCTCGAGATACACTTTTTGTTATATTCCATGGAATGCTCTTAACATCCCGATAGCAATGAATATCTGAAGTGCTTTGACAATAAATCCATTGGAATATTTCCGATCATTTCCCGATGAGGAATTAGCAAAAATGTGCTTAAAATGCATGAAAAACGCACATTTTTCAAAATGGTCGACTTTCTGGGGGGCGGGGCTAATGAAAAGTAATTTGAAATATGGGTGCAATCATAATAGCAATGTGGATACAGCGTTTCGTGAATATCTGAAAAACTATATGCGAGTAGTTTGGAGTAATGTAAATCGTCAAAAATGGTATATTCGCTGTTAGCTTACGACCTCCCCGATTGAGATATCAAAAATATACTCCGCAATTTTTCATGACATTGGTTAGGGGCTGAACCTGTCCTGCATTGGAATTTTTCCGATCATTCCCCTAGGAGGAGTTCGCAAGAATGTGCATAAAATGCATTAAATATTAACTGTTTTTAACATTATGCTAATTTAAATTAAAAATAATGTAGGCGGAGCTTAGGGTTCCAAGAGGATTATTTGTAGAGCAGGTCCACCCGGATATGTGTGCAAAATTTCAGGTCATTCAGAGTTACGGTGCGACTTTGTAAATGTATTCCGAAATGGGATTTTGATAGGTTGCGCTAGTGAGCAGGTTGGAATATTTAACCCATTGACTCCAGAATATTGTAGTTTTCACCGGTCCTGGCGTCCGTGCAAAATTATACAACTTTGTAAGCGTCCTAAAGGTCTCAAAAACAGGAAACGCCAGCAGAAAAATAATTACAACTGCGGTCACAGAAGTGTGCGCAGTGATGAGCGGGCCCTCACGTCCGTGCGCCTGTCGGGGAGGGCAGCCGGTCGTCCCGGCGTTAAGTAGACACGCGTGAGTCGTCCGAAATGAGCCGTTTGTCATTTCTATACATTTCGCGTCCCAGACTCCCAGATGCTCCGGCAGCGACCCGGAAACGGATGTCGGCGCGCCGTCTCGATGGAAAACAAATTTCTCTAAAGGCTCGTCGAGGATCGATTATGAGGCTGTCTGGAGGAGCCGTAACCTAGGATACACTGATTTAGAGGAGAGAGGAGAGAGGAGAGAGGAGAGAGGAGAGAGGAGAGAGGAGAGAGGAGTCTCTCTGGAGGAGCTATAACCGAGGGTACACTGATGTATTCTCTGGAGTCGATTTCAGCCAACAGAGATGTTTAAAAGAGGCGTGACGCATGGCTTGACGCATGGCTTGACTTATGTCAACGAAGCACAGCTCTGCAAACTGTTCCCGTTGTGATTATAAGTTATTTAAGATGATCAAATGTGCAATGAATATGCCGCCAGCAAAAGGGCGTTGTTGGACAAACAGTGTGTGTGTGTGTGTGTGTGTGTGTGTGTGTGTGCGTGTGTGTGTGTGTGTGTGTGTGTGTGTGTGTGTGTGTGTGTGTGTGTGTGTGTGGTGTGTGTGTGTGTGTGTGTGTGAGAGTTGATGTGCCGGGCAGACAGGCGGTTCTCAGTAGCTTAAAGTGGACCTATCATGGTATATTTAAATGATATATTGTAGGGCCATACCTATATAAGGTATATTTATACGTTTCTGTTTTCAAAATACCAAACAGATCATGCATTTTAGCCATGCCTCATTTCGCTCTATGTGCTGTTTGCTGTCTACGGGTCTGATTCTGCTGACCACGCCCCCCTGCAGGAGAGGGGAGACGTGCTCTGATCAGCTGCTGGGCTGTCAGAAGAGGGGGAGAAAAAGAGATCTCCGTCCTCCGTGTTTTATTATATAGAGTCGTTATTCATTTGTTTTAAAGCTCAATAAATAACAAAGAAGACCAAGCGTTTGCAGCGGGAGCAAACGCTTGTCTCGGGGAGGGAGAAAAAAAGCCACAGCGGAGAATAAACAGAAGGGTAACCATGGTAACTATGGGCGGGAAATCTTCTTCGCTGCTTTTGTGGCAGACTACAGCGCCACTTACAGGCCTGGCATATGTACTACAGCGTCTCCAGCGCTTTCGAGCGGCAATGGCCGGCCGTGGCCCAACCCCACATTCCCCTGATAGGTGGAGAGTTGGCCCAATAGCCGTAGCGCCACCGTCCTGACGTCAGAACGGTGTTCAAATCTGGATCAGTTTTGATCAGATCCGTTGCAGCCCCTTTTTTAGAGATTTGGGTATGGAGGAAAATAGAGAGGGTTGTGTTTTCTGACACTTGGTGAGTTCCCTGGAACACCGGGGACACATATTCATGTATAAAAGACGTACAAAAGTGCATTTTGCATGATACGTCCCCTTTAAGGTAGTATCTGACATATAAATGGTCAAAAATTGTACATTCTCCGTTAGCTTACGAGCACCATGTTCAAGCGATCAACTATTTCTTCGCAATGTAGCATCACATTGGATATGCGCTTAAGTTGCCCTAGATTGGAATTTTTCCGATCATTTCCCTATGACGAATTAGCAAAAATGTGTTTAAAATGCATGAAAAATGCACATTTTTCAAAATGGCCGACTTTCTGGGGGGCGGGGCTAATGAAAAGCAATTTGAAATATGTGTGCAATCATAATAGCAATGTGGATACAGCGTTTCGTGAATATCGGCAAAACTATATCCGAGTAGTTTGGAGTAATTTGCGACATGTAAATCGTCAAAAATTGTGTATTCGCTGTTAGCTTACGACCTCCATGATTGATTTATCAGAAATATGCTCCGCAATTAAGTTTCATATTGGATAGGGGCTTAACTTGTCTTGGATTGGAATTTTTCCGATCATTCCCCTAGGAGGAGTTTGCAAGAATGTGCTTAAAATGCATGAAAAACGCACATTTTTCAAAATGGCCGACTTCCTGGGGGGTGGGGCTAATGGAAGCTATTTACAAATATGTCCGCAATTCCATGAGGAATGTCTGTGGCAAAATTCGTGAAGTTCTGAGAAACTATATGTGACTACCACACAATAGGTGGCGCTAGTGAGCAGTTTTTTTGAAAAATTACGTTTTTTTTTTACATTCTCGAAAAGGTCGTGGGCTTTGACGTGTGTCCCAAGTTTTGCGTCCGAAGCTCATTTTATGCTATCGCAATTTAAAAAAAAATATATAGGCCACGCCCACATTCTGAATTTGTTGCGACACTTTAAATCTGAGTTCGTAGTCACCCCGAGAGTATGTGTAAAGAAAAAAAAAGAAATTCGTCCATCCGTTCTTGAGTTATAAATTGGTGGTGTTTTTGGCGCCCCCTATAGTCCACAATGAAAATGCTTTGGTGTGCCTATTCCCCAGGACAGACTGAACCTATCCACCAAATTCTGTGATATATGGAGACATTGTTGATGAGTTATGAGCATTTCTTTATAAGCCCCGCCTTTTTGCGAGTACGTTTTGATTGACGGCGGCAATATTTATCGTCCTAACATGCTCATTTTCTACGGTAATGTGTCTGACCCTCCACCGATGCTGTATACAAAGTTTGGTGTTGAAAAACGGAAAATTGAAATTTAAGTGAATATTTAACTGTTTTGAACATTATGCTAATTTAAATGAAAAAAAATGTAGGCGGAGCTTAGGGTTCCAAGAGGATTATTTATAGAACAGGTCCACCCGGATATGTGTGCAAAATGTCAGGTCATTCAGAGTTACGGTGCGACTTTGTAAATTTATTTTGATAGGTGGCGCTAGTGAGCAGGTTGGAATATTTAACCCATTGACTCCAGAATATTGAATTTTTCACCGGTCCTGGCGTCCGTGCAAAATTATACAACTTTTGAAGCGTCCTAAAGCCCTCAAAAAGAGGAAACGCCAGCAGAAAAATTAGAAGAAGAATTCCTCCAATAACAATAGGTTCCTCGCACTACAATATTGTTGTTGTTTAAATTATGCAACCAATTTGCACTTATGTAAAAATAAATACCTCACCTGCCAGCTCTGCTGCGTGTGTGTTATTTAAGATGATATGCCGCCAGCAAAAGGGCGTTGTTGGACAAACAGTAGGTGAGTGTGTGTGTGTGTGTGTGTGTGTGTGTGTGTGTGTGTGTGTGTGTGTGTGTGTGTGTGTGTGTGTGTGTGTGTGTGTGTGTGTGTGTGTGTGTGTGTGTGTGTGTGTGTGTGTGTGTGTGTGTGTGTGTGTGTGTGTGTCGGAGAACACCAGCCCGGGCCTTGATCTGACCCGGGCACAGAGCAGACTGGTGCGGTTTTCTCGTCAACGGGTATATATATGTAAATAAATAAATGACGTTCTCAACAATTCAACCTTTTCACTAGTCAAACGGACCAACAGAAGTTCGCCCCATGCATGATACGTTTATAAAATGACCTGGTTAAACAGCTTTAAAAAAAAAGCTACCATGTGGCTAAACGTGCTAACCCATAGCCCCATACAAAGACCTTACGTGAAACCTATATAACATTTGCAACTATTTAAACTTTTCACGAGTCAAACCGACACAACAAAAAATCGCCACTTGCATGATAAATGTATGAAAATTATCTGCTTAAGCCATCCTTAAACAAATTGGTTACACATGGTTAAACTTTGCTAACACATAGCCAAATACAAAGACAGATGGTAAATTAGTTGTTTATCTTGACACGATATAAATAAGAATTGTTTTTTTGATATCCTCCAGAAATGAATAAAAGCTAAATCGGCTTGCCATAGCTCTCACAACCAACATGCCTTCTGTTCTTACCTTGCTCCAGGACGCCGAGCACGGTGACGACGGCGAGGCTGACCGACATCTCTGAAGACCGAGAGAGAAGTGAAGAGAGAGGAAGAGAAGGCATAGAGGAAGAGAGAGACAGGAAGAGAGAGACACACCTGCAGGGGGCGGGGCTTCAACACAGGTGAGACAGGAAGAGAGAGAGAGAGAGATCCTCGCAACCAAAAGAAAACAGTATATGTGGTCACTGTACGACAGGTAAGACTGAGAGACAGAGATGCACTTCCTCCTAAAGTGCCAAACATTCAACGAAATAAGGAACATTTACTGTAACAAGTTGAACTCTGTAATCCCAGGTTTCAAGGAGGTTAATGACCTCTCAAGACTGAGAGAGAGAGAGAGAGAGAGAGAGAGAGAGAGAGAGAGAGAGAGAGAGAGAGAGAGAGAGAGAGAGAGAGAGAGAGAGAGAGAGAGAGAAATGACCTCTCAAGACTGAACATACTCCTAGGAGAAGGAGACAAGGCACATCTTGCTGCCCAATATGTATACACAAGCTGAGGGACAGTGAATGAGACACACACACACACACACACACGGCTTTGCACGGAGGAATGTCAGTGGAAGACATTTGCACCGCTGCATCTTGGTCTTCTCCCTGTTCATTTATTCAATTGTATTTGAGGGATGTCTCCCATTCCTCTCTGACACACCCTGTGCTGAGTGTCCTGTCAGAGTGAGTAACGTCAGGGATCCAGCTGTGCGCCTCTCTCCTGCCTCGGCACACGGAGAGTGGCCTGTATTTCCCTTTTATGAGAGGGACGTCCCCCTTTTTCCCCTGACACATTTCGTACGGAATGTCTTGTCAGAGAGAGTGATGTTGGGGACCCAGCTGTGCGCTCTCCTGCCTGTCTGCACGCAGAGAGCTGCTATTCCCCCTCCTTTCTGTCACTGGGCAAAGTGTGATCTTCGTCTCCACTTTCTCACAGCGGCAGGTATGTATTTTTCCCAGCCTTCGTCCCCTCATGGTAAATATTCATGTTATGCTATATTCCAGGGACTGTGATGCGCCATTCGCATGGCGCAATAGGCATGGGTTATTATCTGAGCAGGTGTGTTTGTGCTTCTTGTACCGGGGGGACCCAGTGGGGCGCAGACTACATCTTGCTTCGCCCTTAACCCAATAGCGATAGCCTTAGAGGGCGAAGCCATATACGAAATATAACTGAAGTTACCTACTGTAACTCCAGCTTCTATGAGTATTGGCGTAGCCCTCTAAGTTCTGGGCCCCACTGGCTCCACGAATAGCTGAAGAAAAGTTGTTTTGTGTGGGAGCAGATTGTCGGGCCTCCTTCCTATTTATACCAGAAGGGAGCCCGAGGGTGGGGCCCACCTTGCGGGCGGGCGTGGACTACAAGTGTTTCAGTGCTGCGCGGGTGCGCAGGGGGATTACCCAATAGCGATAGCCTTAGAGGGCTACACCAATACTCATAAGGTGCGTTCACACCGGAGTACTTTGGTGTACTTTTCCCACAATAGTTCCTCAGAACTACGATATATTTGCGTTCACACCAAAAAGCCCCAGGAACTAAAGTAGCTCAAATGAGTTCGTCCGACCCGCTTTTCAGTCCCTGCTACAGAGCAGGGTCTGTTGTGGGAGAAAATAGTTCGTACGTCTGATTGGCTGTGCGGAATGCAAACCACGCCCGTTTGACTCTGAATTTTTTTTTGGAAGCGGCCATTGTATTTGCTCGTTTACCCGAAGAGATTACTTTTGTGAAAGCAGTTATTATAGCAACACTAAATAAATCATCGGAGCGGTGGAATTGATGAGGATGTCTCGGCGCTTCTGGCGATTTACTCGGAGGACGCGAAGTGCGGCATTCAGAAGCTTCTACTGAATGCAGTTTCAGTGGATCAGCAAAGTTAGCAGACCTGGCAAAGTCATGTCGTGACGACTACGAAGGTAAAATAAAATACATGCACTACACTGTTTTAATCTGCACAATACTGGTCTTAGATGTACTTTTATTTGCTCAGTAGATCGAGCTAGCCATGCTAGAACTTGCTAACGTTAGATCCAAGCTGGCTAACAACATCTAGCTAGCTAGCTATTCTCAGCCGTGCCCGCTATGAACACGTATTGACTTGTGAATAAGTGTGCAATGTTCTGTCATTTGCTTCACTAACTCATGGCACTAATCGTGTGTTTCAGGCGAGGTGTTTCTCTCAGGATTAGAAACTAGTTTTCCCCTCCGGGATAAAACGATAATATAACGTTAGCAATTAGCATGCTAGCTGGACCTCTGTGGCTACACTGAATGCATAGAGGTAAACAATAGATTGTAGTTGCTATAATTTCAAGTAATTTGCAAAATTCATTCTACATGTAAATGGTAAAAGCTTAAACAGTTGATTACCTGCATGCCACAAAGACTGATGTTCTAATATTTTTGCACATTTAAGTAGAAATGTAATTGAAATTCTATTTACTGCCTAAACATTGTTCCTTGTATTATCCTAAATAGTTTGACCTTGTTTCCTCAGAAGGCTTCTCAGACTACATGGAGGATCCCTCAGAGAAACACAGTTTCCACGTTCAGTTCCCCCCCCCTGAGAGTAGGCAGCTCCACACCCTGTGCCCGGTCAGCGGACACCATCAGGACTACCATCCTGACCGCTGCTGCCATACTGCAGCAAACAGGAGGGAACGGAGGTGAAAACACACTTTATACATTTAGATATGTGGAGCACAAAGAAAAGCATTGCTAAAAAACATTTAGCAGCTAAACTGTGGATAACAAGTAAACCACATTGGTTTGTTATTCAATATTCAAAAGCTTTTTGAATCATTACATGTCACTTGTTAGACGCTTTTATCCAAAGCTTACATACTCAATACTGTGGGCAATCCCCACAGGAGCACTTTGGGGTGAAGTGTCTCAGGGACACAACAACATGCTGACTGCAGTGGGGTTTGAACCTGTGCTCCCCTGATCCGAACACCAATGCACTTATCCACTGCGCCACACGCCTCCCTATCATGTCCTGAGAGCCCTCCATCCCCCAATTGCTAGTGCCTTCACCATTTAAAATGTTAATAGTCAAATCAAAGGTGTTCCCCGTGTTCCTCCTGTTGTGTGCCTGCAGAGACAGATTTGGACAATGTTGTCTCGTTGTTGCGATTAAACTGATCTTGTATCTTGCATATTTCACCTTAGGAAAGTGGGCACGCGATGACAGCTTCCTTGACACCATCATGGCGATGGACCGCCGTGCCATGGTCAGCAAGGAGAATGAGGACCTGCGTGCCAAGGAGATGCACGACGAACGGCTGTTGCATTCACACAAGGCCCAGGAATCGAGGTGGAGCAACAAAATACCTTTCAGGCTGGGCTTCTGGCAGTGCTAAGCGAGCTGATTAAATCCAACAGGCCTTCAATACAAAAATTAAGAAAAACTTGTCGTTGATAAACTGTACAATGACTTGTTGGGAGGCGTGTGGTGCAGTGGTCTGGTGCGTTGGTGTTCGGATCAGGGGAGCACAGGTTCAAACCCCACTGAAGTCAGGATGTCGTTGTGTCCCTGGGCAAGACACTTCACCCCAAATTGCCTACACCTGTGACAGTTAATTTTGTATTATTGTGATTATATATATATGCCACTGTTATTAATACTGACACCTAACTTTGCACTAAGGCTGCTGAGCCTACCTATTGTTATTATATATATATATATATATATATATATATATATATATTGCCACTGTTATTATATTGTTTTGATACTACTGACACTTATTGATCTGCTGCTGATAAATAAAAGAGAACCTACATGCACGGCACTAGCATCATGACTGTCTTTGTTTAAACCAGCAGCAGTGCAGCGGTACACAGACTAACCTGTGTGTGTGTAACGTAGTTCTTCAGGTGTGCATGCTTAACATGTATGTTAACATGTATGTATACAAAAGTTTTTAAAGAGCTTTCAACCTCATCCCATTGTCTTTAACACACATTTAACATAATATACTCATTAATATACAAATATACAGTATGAGTACTGTTTTGATACTGACATTTAATCTTTGCACTAAGGTGTGTCTGCACTATTGTAATTGTGTCTGTTGACTGGTAAATAAAAGAGAACCAAATGCACTGTACAAAATATCAGCTTTATTGTCAATTTACAATTTCCATGCTGTTCAGATGCCTCTCCACAACGTTGCTTCCAGGCGAATACAGAGGAGTTGAAAAGAGCCCTTGGACATTCGGAAATCTTCGATCCACTGCACATGTTGGCACCACCTCCCACCAGGCCGACGTTCTATTGTTCACCCAGAGTTCCGTAGTATTCGCATATCTGGAACACATACAAAGACACAAATTAGCCCTACATAACTCCATAAATCCTACATTAGATAGTATTAATGTGATTTAATGAACGTACCATTGCTGTTCTTTGGGCGTGATAACGGCCATCATCCTCGGCTGTACAACGGCGAAACATGTCCATCGCGTGTGATTTCATCGTCTAATCCTTTTGTTAAGGCTTCTTAACCGCCTTCGCCTCCGACTCAGCATTTCTATTGCATTTGAATGGTCGATCTGTATTTGTATTTGTGGCTGAGTTATTGGCTTAAATAACTCCGTTACGAAGCTGTATAACACGACCATCAAAACGTCAACTCCATACCGTGTCTGAGGTCGGAAGGTAAACAGAAGCATCCAGCGGAAGCGGAAGTTTTTTTTCTTCTTCTCTCGGTTTTTTGGCGAATTGCAACTTTAAGGTGCATACCGCCACCTACTGTACTCGCCGTGAAGTTGTTTGCGGCCTGCCAGGAAAACCAAAGCAGAAGAAGAAGAAGTGACGTCAGCGGCTCATTTGCCTAATCCACCCCCAGGAACTCATTTTGGTGTGAACGCGATCTGCTTTAGTTCATCAGAACTAAAAGAACTCTCATGAACTAAAGTTCTCATGAACTACTGTGGGAAAAGTACTTGGTGTGAACGCGCCTATAGAAGCTGGAGTTACAGTAGGTAACTTCAGTTTCTAGCGATCCAGCGATCTGGGTCAGTGTTAGAGTGAAA